GTTAGATTGTTTTCACTCATAGATGGCTACACTTGTACTAAATCACCAATGAGCCAGTTACGAGTACCGTCTGTCTCGCCCGTTCACCCTTTTCTTTGATTTACGAAATATTTTACGGTATCTTATTTTGCTGTTACTAATATTAAAAAAACATTATAAAAATTACAATGTTTATGATAAAAATAACACCATCGATATTCATGGCACTAGTGAAAAATACGTGTTTCAAGTCAGGCGCTAACAGAACCATCTATGGGCAGACATTTAACAAAAAAGTATAGAAAAAAGGCACAGCATTTTCCCCATTTTTTGTTCATTTTCCCCGGCGGCAATGGGTTAAATGTCAGATAGCATATTACAGTACAATAACTAAACATTTACATTAAATACACCTTTAGCATCACAAATATATATAAGGTTGTTTCATTAACTGCTAGAGGCAAAATTAACACATCTTTCTAAAATATCAGATAGTTTGTCGTCCTTTCTAAAAAAAAATGGTATATAGTATAATATAGTTTATTTATATATATATTTATATCTATATTTATAGAATATAGTATAATATAGTTTATTTATATGGCTACTTCAATAGTTTTGGTTCATTGTTGCATGAGGAATCAATGGTTGTGTCATATAGTTCTTAAAAAAAGTTGTTTCTAATCTCTCTAGGATAATTTGTACTCACTTAACACTTCAGGTTATCATTCTTAATAGAAAAATATGTTGATTAATATCAGAGTAAATATATATTTTCATGATATGATATAAAACGTGTATAAGACGTTCAACACGTTATTCCAAGTACTTTTGCTGCTTGTCAGTTTCCTGTTTACCCGTTTACCCGTTTACCTGTTTACCCGTTTACCCGTTTACCTGATTACCCGTTTACCTGTTTACCCGTTTACCCGATTACCTGATTACCTGTTTACCTGTTTATTCACGCTTGCAACATCACTGCAATTGCCAACTCCCCCTCGTGTCTCCTGAAGGTGCGAGTCAACTACATCTGTCCGGGAGCGGTGGCGTGGCCGGAAGTGGAGCAGGACCATCACGACGACGCCTTCAGAAAGGTACTTGGGGGGGGGGGGGGGCGTGGCTTGGTTCTTCATCCCTGGCGGGTGGGGGGGCGTGGCCTTTTTCTTAAGGAATAGTTTTTTTTTTATATTTATTTAGGAATTGTTGATTATTCAGGATCGAGGTGGTTGTTTCTGTTTCGTTTTCCCTTAAAATCGCTTTGTTACAATGGTTAATATTACTCCGATAGACAGAGATATACATAGAAAGACAGTAAGGTTGGATAGATAGATAGAGAAAGAGAGAGAGAGAGAGAGAGAGAGAGAGAGAGAGAGAGAGAGAGAGAGAGAGAGAGAGAGAGAGAGAGAGTAATGGTAATGATAATGTCAGTCATAAGCCTACATACGTATATGCATATTCTGTGTATATGGACATACCTACCGATGGATAGACATATAGATAGACAAATGAACAGGTAAATAGACAGATATATATATATGTGTGTGTGTGTGTGTGTGTGTGTGTATCTATATCTATATCTATATCTATATCTATATCTACCTATTTATCTATCTATCTATACACTCACACACATATATATACATATATATATATATATATATATATATATATATATATATATATATATATATATATACACAAATATACATATATATGATATATGTATATTACCATCTCTCCCCTCACCTCCCACGACCCCCTCCCCCCTCCTACAGGAATGGCTCTCCCGGACGCCCCTCGGAAAGATCGGGACGGCGGAAGACGTGGCGGACGCCGTCGTCTTCCTGGCGTCGCCCTCGTCCTCCTACGTGACCGGCAGCGGCATCACCGTCTGTGGAGGGAGGTCGCTGAGGCTGTGAAGGAGGTGAGGAGGAGATGAGAGGAGGAGGCGAGGAGGAAACGAGGAGGAGGAGGACATGAGAGGAGGAGGCGAGGAGGAGGAGGAGGAGGAGGACATGAGAGGAGGAGGCGAGGAGGAGGAGGAGGCGAGGAGGAGGAGATGAGAGGAGGAGGCGAGGAGGAAACGAGGAGGAGGCGAGGAGGAGGAGGAGAGAAGAGAAGATGATTCTGGGTGAGATGGTGGGGGGGAGGGGGAGGGGAAGGGAGGGAAAAAAATTATTAACCTCATCCCATCTTTCTTTTGGTTTTGATGTTTTATGCAAAGTGTGTTTGTTAATGGTCAAATAAATGTTTGTTTTAGCGATATTGGTTGTGTTTTTTTATCCGAGTGATTCAGAGGCGAATGTGATATCGTTTGATGGTTTTTGATTGTTTGCCTTGTAAACTTTAGAAACTAAAATATATTTAGACGTTATTCAGCCTTCCTTCTTACAAACAGTCGGGGACTTATCAAAAGGTAATATAAAAATCTCTATTTATTTGGTAAAACAAAGATAAAACATAAAACGAAACACAGTAAAACACAAACACTAAAACACTAAAGACAAAACAGACATAAAACACGTTAAAAACACGAAACACCCAACATTAAAACGAGAACCACTTTCTTTCCCGTATAATACAACTTAATCACTTGTCTCTTCTGTTGCCAAGACCACCTTATCCTGCGCACCACAACCACCGTGGAGGAGGAGGAGGAGGAGGAGGAGGAGGAGGAGGAGGAGGAGGAATAGGAGGAGAAGGAGGAGGAGGAGGAGGAGGAAGAAGAGGAAGACGAGAAGGAGGAGGAGGAAGAGGAAGAGGAGTAGAAGGAAGAGGAGGAAGAGGAGGAGGAGGAGGAGGAGGAGGAGGAGGAGGAGGAGGAGGAACAGGAGGAACAGGAGGAACAGGAGGAAGAGGAGGAGAAGGAGGAGAAGGAGGTAGAGGAGGAAGAGGAGGAGGAGGAGGAGGAGGAGGAGGAGGAGGAGGAACAGGAGGAACAGGAGGAACAGGAGGAACAGGAGGAACAGGAGGAGAAGGAGGAGAAGGAGGTAGAGGAGGAAGAGGAGGAGGAGGAGCAGGAGGAGGAAGAGGAGGAGCAGGAGGAGGAAGAGGAGGAGCAGGAGGAGGAAGAGGAGGAGCAGGAGGAGGAAGAGGAGGAGGAGGAGGAGGAGGAGGGGGAAGAAGAGGAAGAAAAGGACCTCGAACCGCTCTGCTTGAGCAGGGGATTTGGTTTTCATAAGACTTGCAAATAAAATCTTGCATTATACATTAAAAGATTCTTGTCATAATCATTAAACTATCTTTAAAGTTTGTTCATAAAATGAATAAAAGTTCTATAATATAAAAGATAAAAAAATAAAAAAGAACCATCGTGAACGTAGTAAAATAAGTTCATAACATGTTCAGTGTAAAATTGTAAAAATGTAGAAATATAAAATGCAAATTACAAATTCGTTTTTATGGTCTCTTTTTTAACTAAAGTCCGCGTAAAACACAATGTAAAAAAAAAGTTTATTAAAATAAGCTAAAGCAAAAGCAAATCAAACAAAACATAAGCAAGGGTGACGAGGCCGCGCAGGTGAGTCTCCCCAGGTGGGCTTCCCGTTTTCTGTTGCCGCAGCTTCCTCCTCGCGACGGGCATCCTCACCTCCGGGAGATAAAAACAGGGGTTTGGGGCAACCTGGTGGGCGCACGAGGCTGTGACCTCCTCCGTGGAACGAGGGTGAACGCCCCCTTCATCTCGTAAGGGCGGGGTGGACGAAAGGATATGTAGGGGACCGTAGGGGACGTACACAGGCGGTCCACTTCACACGAAATCGAAACAAAAGCGATTTCGGCGACCTCGACAGGACGTCCCGCCACTTGACTCCGATCTCTCCGCCTGTTCACTTTATGTAATTCCTTCCATTTCTTAGAATTCTTGTACTTTGTGTTTAAATCTAAATAGTCTTTTCGAATATCAACGAACCACTCTAAAATTACCTATAGTAAATTATATGTGGTAAGTGAATGTAAATTCACGAATATATATCTATTATATACTGCCGCGATAGTCCAGTGGTGAGAGCAATGGACTCCGACCCTCGTGGTCCCGAGTTCAATTCCCCGTCGCGGCGGTCGTAAAATATCCCTGCGTTCTGACTGCTGACTATAGTCCGATCTCACGGCGAGAAAACGACATATTGCCTTGAGAAGTCAAACGCAGGTGTCGTAGGGGAAGTCGCCGCCGTGACACAGGTGTTAATAGCACCGAACCACGGTTGATTAGGAAGGGCATCCAATCATGTGATCATGGTGCAGCGCGATCAGCGGAAGAGCTACGACGCCAAAGACAATGGTTGCAGAAATGCAAGCAGAGGATTCACTGGTAAGAGATGGTAAACTCTTCAATCACCCGAAGGAAGGCAACGGGAAACCACCTTCGTACACTCCCTTGTACAACCATGGAATTAAAGCATGGTCGCCAACGCCAGGCTTTGATACGGCACAAAAAACAATTAATACTGATTTCTTCGGTTCAGTCCCCATGATTTTGGCTTACGGTGTACGGTGTTTCTCAGATATTTGGTTTACAATCTTTCTCTCAGACACTTGACTGACCTTGCAGCACGAGCAGCCCATTTTCACGCGTCATGTCGTGGGTGGAAGCCCATACCGAACACCCAATTACCGATCTACAGTGCGCATCATTTAAAGGAGATATAATGGGAACCAGAAATGTTGCAGTGTTATAGTTAAAGGTGCCAATAGATGCAATAATGGGTCTTAGTTATAATATTAGGTTTTTGTACTTTGGGAAGACCATATAGTAGTTGTGAACCAGAAGTTGCTCGTAAGTGATAGGTGCTTTCACCAATGTATGATTCAATGGCTCCGAAGAAGTTTATCAGTTTATCTTCGAAATACAAGTGAGTGGATATTTCAGTAGTGAAACTTTTTTGATACGGCCATTCAGAATATTAAGCAATTTCTGGTGATAGTCGCGTTAACTCTACGACCCTTGTCTAGTTTGACGATTATTGTAGTCTCATCATTCTTAAGCGTCTGTAGAGGTGAAAACTTCTGCCTCATTCGTTTTA